GCCTTGAAGTCCATCTTCAAGACTTTGAGAGATGAGGGAGAGGGATATTTGATAGAGCTACAGCAGGTGGGCATAGAGGTAGAAAGAGAGCCAGAAGTCATACCTGAGGTGGTCCAGGATCTTCTACAGCAGCACTCCACAGTGTTTCAGATGCCCAAAGGGCTACCCCCTATCAGATCCAAGGAACATGCTATTGTGTTGAAGACAGGGGTAGCACCCATCGGCGTGCGACCCTATAGATATCCTCATGCTCAGAAGGAGGAGATTGAGAGGTTAGTAGCAGAGATGATGGAGGCTCAGGTGATCCAGCCCAGTGTGAGCCCATTCTCCAGCCCAGTGCTCTTGGTGAAAAAGAAAGACGGTAGTTGGCGATTCTGTGTAGACTATCGGGCCCTCAACAAAGAGACTGTGTTGGACAAATTTCCTATTACGGTGGTAGATGAGCTGTTGGATGAGCTTGGGGGAGCCACCATCTTCTCCAAGGTGGACCTGAAATCTGGTTATCACCAGATTAGGATGAGGACTGAAGACATTCAGAAGACTGCTTTTCGGACACATGAGGGTCATTATGAGTTTTTAGTGATGCCATTCGGACTCACTAACGCTCCCTCCACCTTCCAAGCCCTGATAAATCAGGTCTTCCAGCCCTATTTGAGAGCCCTATTTGAGGAGGTTTGTTTTTGTTTTTTTTTATGATATATTGGTGTATAGCAAATTTCTGCAGGACCATATCACCCATCTGGGGGTGGTACTCACTACCTTATTGGAGCATCAGTTATATGCCAACCAGAAGAAGTGTTCTTTCGCTCAGAAGGAGGTGGAGTATCTAGGACACATCATTTCAGAGAGTGGGGTGGCAGCTGACCCCACCAAGATAGAGGTCATGGTGAATTGGTCTACACCAAAATCCCTTAAAGGACTAAGGGGATTTTTGGGACTGACGGGCTACTACAGGAGGTTCATCAAAGGCTATGGTTCCATAGCAGGCCCGTTGACTGATCAGCTAAAGAAGGACAACTTTCAGTGGGGAGAGAAGGAAGAGGAAGCCATGAAGACTCTGAAGGAAGCCATGACTAGTGCCCCAGTTTTGGCTCTTCCAGATTTCACTCAGCAATTTGTGGTTGAGACTGACGCTTCAGGAGTGGGCTTGGGAGCAGTGCTCATGCAGAATCATAGGCCAATTGCCTTTTTCAGTCAGATTTTATCTACTAGAGCAAGGCTGAAATCAGTTTATGAGAGGGAACTGATGGCCATTGTATTGGCTATTCAAAAATGGCGGCCTTATCTATTGGGGCAACGATTTATAGTTCATACTGATCAGCGGAACCTCAAGTACTTACTAGAGCAAAGATTGGTGGCAGAAGAACATCAGAGGTGGCTAGCAAAACTCCTGGGGTATGAGTTTGAGATTCAGTATAAGCCCGGTGCTCAAAACAAGGCAGCAGATGCTCTCTCCCGTGTGGAGTGCTCACAGCTGATGGCATTATCTGTACCACAAATAGTTGATTGGGGTGAAATGGCGAGGGAAAATCAACAAGCAGAGGAGCTAGAGAGGATTCAGGCGGCTATTCAGAAGAGAGAAGGGAGGGTTCAAAGGGTATCACCTAGATAACTCTCTTTTGTTATACAAGGGGAGGTTGGTACTACACCGTAACTCAGCATTCATCCCCATTCTTCTACGGGAGTACCACGATAGCCGCATTGGTGGACATTCAGGGGTGGAGAAGACCTATCGGCGGGTGAAAGCAGAATTGTTTTGGAAAGGGTTAATGAGTGATGTCGAAGACATGGTAAGCAAATGTAATATTTGTCAATGGAACAAGTATCAAGCTTGTGCCCCTAGTGGTTTACTGTAGCCATTGGTGCTTCCAAATAAGATTTGGGAGGAAGGCACCATGGATTTCATTGAGGGATTACCCAAGTCGGAAGGGTATACGGTCATCATGGTGGTAGTTGACCGTTTGAGCAAGTATAGCCATTTCATTCCACTACGGCATCCTTTTTCAGCTCCTACTGTAGCTGTTGGGAGAGTTGAGGGAACACCTATTGAGAGCCCAGCATATCATGAAGACCAAGGTGGATGCTCACCGCAAGGATGTGACCTTTGAGGTGGGAGAAATGGTATACTTGAAGCTGCGGCCTTACCGACAAAAGACTTTAGCAAGCAGAAGAAGTGAGAAGCTCTCTCCACGATACAACTGGCCTTTCGAGATTGAAAGGAAAGTGGGGATGGTGGCCTACCGTCTCAAGTTGCCCCCTTAATGCTCCATCCACCATGTATTCCATGCATCACTATTGAAGAAGAGCATAGGAGATCATACCGTGGCCACTCCTACCATACCCCAGGGCCTCACGGAAGATATGCAATTCCTACTAGAGCCACTACAGGTGAAGGGAGTGAGGAAGAATGATCAAGGCAAGAGGGGGTACTCATCGAGTGGAAGGACTTACCGACACATGAGGCTACTTGGGAGATATACGAAGCCATGCAGAAGCAATTTCCAAACTTCAACCTTGAGGACAAGGTTGATCTTCTAGAGGGCGGTATTGATGGACCGGTTCACCCGATCCATCCACCCGGACCCATGAGGGTCTACGGGCGGACAAGGAAGAGGCGGGCGAACCCGCCTGGAGCCATGGAAAGTTTCGGTGGGCCCCTTGGGCCCACCCATTTGGATCGGACGGCTCACAAGGGGAAGGGGGGCGAGGAATAGTGAGGAGGGTGGGATGGAGTGATTTGGTAGGGGTTTTGGGATGATATTAGGGAGCCATTAGGGTTTAGGGGTTTTTTATGCTTTTGGAGGCTTACTCTTAGTTTTTCTTCTTGTTTTCTCTAGAGCTTTTGTGGGAGATCTTGTCCTTCTCGAAGTGGACAAATTTTTATCTTGCTTTCCCTTGGATCTTAAATGCAGAAGTTATTGCTCTTCATCTCATTTCATTCGTGATTGTTTCTCTTTGGTTTTGGTGAAGATATCCTTCTCTTTTGAGGGACATTAGGGCAAAAACGAATTTGTGCAACCCTAAGGCGTATCAGATTTTTGCTAATTATATTCTTCTTGTTGATAAGACTGAAGAGGGAGAAGGAAAACTTGAATTATGTTGGTCAACGATAGAGTCGAAAGGTTTTTGTTTGAGTAGATCTAAAATTAAATATATGGAGTGTAATTTTAGTACTAATATTTTTAGTTGGGGGGGTGAATTGTGACTTGGAGCGATCAAGTCATTAAAAAGAGTGCATGTTTTTGATACCTCGGGTCTATTATTTAAGGTGATATTAAAATAGATGAGGATATTATTAGTATAATTCAAGTTTGTTGGTTGAAGTGAAGGAATGAATCGAGATTGTTGTGTGATAGAAAAACACCCCACAAATTTAAAGGAAATTTCTTTAAGATGGTGGTGAAATCTACGATGTTTTATGGCACGGAATGTTGGCCATTAAAAGAGAAGCATAAAAATTAAGTTGATTATTGCAGAGATGTGGATGCTCAAGTGGATGTGTGACTTTATTTTTAGAGACAGAATGCGAAACGAGTATATACGTGAAAATGTTAAAGTAGCTCCATTGGCGGATAAGATTAGAGAGAGTTGCCTTGGACGGGTTGGTTAAATAAAATGTTGGCCGTTTGATGGCCCGATTAGGAGAGCAAATGTATTAGATTTGACTTACCTTAAGAGGGGTAGAGGTAAACCTAAAAGATTTGTTTAGAAAGTATTAGAATGACATTTCTTTATTAGATTTAAGTGAGAATTTGACTCTTCAGATGACACAATAGAGAAAAAATGATTCATGTAGCCGACATCATGTAGTAGGATAAAAGCTTGTTAATGTACTAGGAAATAGTTGTAGAACCAGAAAACTACAGCTGAAATCAGAATTTCGGCAAACTCGCAAAGTAGGTTTTGAGAATTTAATGGAGGAAAAACACGAAAAAACACTATTGATTGAATAGTAGATGAAAGAAAATAGCAAGATACAATTGATTCTCAATTCGTAAGGAGGCTCTATTTCTCCCAAATCTCTAGATGCTGCTAAAGCCAAGAACACCGAAGCACCACCAAAATTCAAAAAATTCAAGAAAACCCTAACCCTAATTCCAACAAAAAGTCTAAAAAGACTAAACAATTCTCCTAATGCAATCTTTCCCTCCTAATCTCTCCTCTCTCTCTCTCTCTACTTAAGTAGTGGGCCCCCTTCTGGGGGGGGGGGGACCTACTAGGGGAGGAAAGTGAATGTCGGTTCCCTAGAAATCGACTCAACATCAGCCGGCCCAGGTGGGGCCAGCACTTGTATACAGGAGGCGGGTCAAACCGCCTCCTTCCTACACCGCCTAAGGGAGGGGCCCACACCAATTTGTTTGGATTTAATTAATATCTTATATTAAGAAAGTGGATTTAATTAATTAAAAAGATTTGATATCTTTTGAATTAATTAAATACTATCTTATTTAGGAAAGTGGATTTAATTAATTAAAAAGATTTGATATCTTTTGAATTAATTAAATACTATCTTATATTAGGAAGTTTTTAAGGAGGTGGAGAGGGCTATTTAAAGGGCATGAAGGGGTTAGGGCTAGGCATGCTTTGGTTATTGTCTTCTTGTAGTCTCTTGGCATCTTGGGCTCTAAACTCTTGTCTAGATATTTGGGAGAGACGACCCTCTTCTAGAATAGAGGATCAATTGTATTTTTTCTTCTAGCTTATTGTGCTTTGAGTATTTAATCAAGTTCTATTATTTTCTTGGTTGTTTCATCTCTTATCTGGGTATTCTCACTAT